CTCTAAAGAAAATAAAACACGCCCATTATACTTTTATTGGGAGGCAACATAATGAGGTCAAAAAGGATGAGGAAGATTAGAGGTGTTACAAAAGAGTAACAAACACAAAAAAGAAGGAGGGTAGAGATAAAGACGACAGAAGTTTGATACAAAAGACGATGCAAACCACCACACCGGAGCACCCGGCAACCATCCACAAACAGTTATTCGATTGTCAGAAAAAAAACAATAATAAAAATAAATACAGTGCAAAATTTTAGCGAGAACGACATTTGAACTTTTCGCATTTCAACACCAATCACAGAAAAGAAAGCTATTCCAGCACAGCTTTTGAGTTCCAAAAGAGAAGCCCGCAAGCCACACACATCCACGAGTGGAAATGAAGCTTTTAAATTAAATGCTCAAAATATGGCAGACTTATCCGGGACAGAAAAGGTCTCTCTCATTGGATTGTCAATAGAAGAAACTGCAACTGCAAGTCATCTTTACCCTTATTTCTTCCATTTCATAGAAGAATCATTCTTCTCAGCCCGAGCATTCATCACCATCAGACATCGAAGTATGAAATATCATCATCATCATAATGTGAGGCGTGCTGACAAAATGAGTTACTTCGTTACTTCTCGGATTCAAGCCTGACGGAAATTGATGCGTCAATTTTGTAGGTTGAGTTTCTACAATTTATTAGTATGAAATTATAAAAGACATGTTAAACTTGAAGAGAATGGCATTGGTTTAGAATCTACAATAAATAAATATGTTCCTTTTATGTCGATTTTTGGCCGATATCTCATTCTTTGGTTGCAAGGAATAACTCATTTTGTCAGAACGCTTCACATAAATCTATTTTTTAAAAAATATTCTTGAGTTTCAGTACACATACGTAAGCATCATTTTAACAGTAAAGTATAATATGACAATAATATTAATAAAGCAAAACTCACTTGGCCAATACAAAATGCGTCGACAATATTCAATGTTATTTCGTTAATGTGCGTCATTATTTCTTTAACATTCAGAGTTATTTTGATAGCATGAAAAAGCATTATTTTGTTAAAATTGGATATCATTTTGTTAAAGCCGGCATTGTCATAATTGGAAATATAAATTTTATTTCATTAAAGCCTACATCCCTTCAGTCACGTACAAAGTAATTTTTCACACATGATGAAGTCATGAGAAACATTTGTGTCACGACATGGTGGAATCAGGCGCTCGTCAATTTTTGGGCATGTGGGGTTATTCGTATCATCTGAAAGCTGATTTACTTGCCTTGCTCCCAAAGAAATAAAAATCCATTTATCAAGATATTTGCTGTTGAAGGAAGTGAGGTCGCCTGGTTTCAGCGGTGAAATTAGCAAGAAAATGGCTGCCAAAGTTTGGGAACTCGAATAGCTAAAGAGTCGTTGAAAACTGAAAAGTGAAACATTTTGTGTCTTTAGTCAATGTATTTCAGTCAAATTAAAATGGGAACGTGTTTTTATATTGACATAAGAGGTTACGCAAAAATAAAAATTTGATAAAAATATCCAAACTGGCGGGAGAAGGCCTGTTTCTCCGATTTGTTTTTTTGACGAGCGCCTGATTCCACCACGATGCCTCACATTTCCTCATTGACTCTCGAAGCAATTGTGATAGCATCAAATCAAAACCTTTCCTCAACATTTGGCGTTGTTTGTAAAAGCACTGCGAGCCTACCTACTTTAATCTAGGTTGAACATACTTTTTGCTTTTGTTTTAGTAAGGAACTTTTACGGCGCTCGCAACTGCATAAGGTCACTTTCTTAATCTATTTGAACACTATATAAATATCATATATATGATTATCATTATTTTTTTCATTATTCCAGCAATATCAAACCATATTTCTTCAATATCACTAACCCTTACAGCAGGTCCTTCTAGATTTGGAGAAAAAAAACAACAAAAAAACAACAACATCGACAAAACCAATAATTCTGCGACGGAAAACGAAACAAAGAAGACGGAATAAACAAGCGGGTAAAAGAATATGACATCACGAGTCAGCTCTCATCTTTTAAGTAGCGGCAGTCCGATTAACAGACAATACAGGCTCATCTAGGCAGCTTGTTTGTTTGTCGTTTTTTTTTTTCTGGGTCAAGAGAGGCATGGCCACGCGATAATGGTCATTTAGTTTAGTGCTGGTCTCATCAGTTTTAGTTTTAGTAAGAGTTTACGGTACTTGCAACACAAAAATAAGGCCACACAAGTGCCGAAGAATAGGTTATGTATTACAAGAGAGTAACATACACAAAAAAAAGGAGGAGAGATAAGGAAGATAGTCGTTTGATAGGAAAGAAGAAGCAAACCACACCAGAACACCCGCCAATCACCCACTTCCACCTGTCTGGTACAGACACCAACGTCTTCTCTCCTCCACAACGGGCGGGCAGTCTCGACCAATTGTGAGGCAGCGTGGTGAAATCAGGCGCTTGTCAAAACAAGGAAAGTCAAGAAACTGGCATTCTTTTTGCCGGTTTGGCAATTTTTAGCGAAATTTTGTTTTATGTCGTAACATCTTTCCTGCCCATCGAAGAACACATTTCTGTGCGGAGTTTACTGAAAAACGTTGACTAAAAGCTGAAAAGACGTACATTTTCAGTTTTCACGGACTCTCAAGCTGAGGAAATACCTAACTTTGGTGGCCATTTTCTTGCTAATTTTACCTCTGAAACCAGGTGACCCCCACCTCCTGAAATCGCCAATGTCTTGACTTATATCTAACATAAATGGATATTTCTTTTCCTCAAATGCAAGGCAAAAGGACAGGCTTTATTAAGATGATACCAATAACTCCATAATATGTCCCAAAATTGACGAGCGCCTGATTCCACTACGACGTGACACAATTTCAGCTGTATTGTTTCCAAAGTGCGCCGAGACCAGACCACGAGTCTGACACAAAAAATTCCCAGCATTCCATTTCTATTTTGAGACATGTTGAACACGGCGATGAGACATTTTCATTTCCTTATTTTGTAGTTTTCTTTACGTTCGCTCTCTTTTTAAATAAAAGCCTTCAGCTGACAGTTTGAATATTACGATGAGACATATAATGCATTGAAAAGGAGTAAAAAAATGATTTGCGAATGAGACTGAAATACAGAATATGCTATAAATAAATTTGGATCTCAGAATCAAACAAGAGTTTTACGGCACTTGCAACACAAATAGGTCATAAAGGTGTTGAAGGTAAGAGGAGTTACAAGAGTTGTTTGTTTTAGTAGAGGTTTTACGGCACTCGCAACTGCATAAGGTCATATATGAGCGCCAGAAGATTAGAGGTCTTACCAGAGAGTAACAAACATAAAAAAAGAAGAAGGGGAGATAAGGGCGATAGATGTTTGATAGGAAAGAAGAAGCAGACCACACCAGAGCACCCGCCAACCACCAGCGTGTTACAAGAGAGGAGCAAACAAAGAACAGAAGGAGGAGAGATAAGAACAGTAAAAGTATGATAGGAAAAGTTTCGTAGGAGCAAGCCACATCAGAGCAAGCGCAAATCACCCAACAAACACCTAGAAAAACAGAAAACAAAACACAAAAACTGCCCTAAAAAAACAAAACAAAATCACATTCAGAACAAAATTACTACTCTCACGCAAGCAAGCTTCACTCGAAAACATAGCATCCACAAACATAAGCGAGAAAAAACTGTGCCACTGCAAGCTTTTGGCGAGAAAATATGTCCATATCAGATAATAAACCGTCTCATAATATAATATTTACACATAATTATAATATTGGTATCTTTCATATCACGTAATACCTTTCTGTCCTCTCCATTTTCATTTAACATTTTTAAAAAAATCAATCATTCAGGTTTTAGCTGGAGGAAAGGAAATCACAGTGGCACAATGACAGCTGTGAAAGAGCAGGCACACGAAGACAGAGAGAACTAACAGAGGAAAAGTAGGAGAAGTAGGGTCTGCCAGTGGCACCCTCCAACCACCCTCCAACCTCTCAAGGTTTGTTACTCCTGGAGCAGGGGAAAAGCAAAAATATACAGGTAAAGACAGAAGCAAACCAAGAGAGGGAAAGAAGAGGAGTAGGATCTGCCAGTGGCACCCTCCAACCACCCTCCAACCAACCTCTCACAGACCACTGCCAAAGAAAACCACAAGGTTCGTTTGTTACTTCTTCTAGAGCAGGGGAAAAGCAAAAATATACAGGTAAAGACAGAAGCAAACCAAGAGAGGGAAAGACGAGGAGTAGGATCTGCCAGTGGCACCCTCCAACCACCCTCCAACAACTGTCAAACAAAACCAAAAAAAAGTGGCAAAATCCTGCAAGTTCAAGATACATGCTGTATATATATATATATAAGAAATGCCGCGCCTACCTTCTGAAAGCCATGGGTTCAATTCTAAACACCACAACGCCCTGTGTGTGCATCACTTTTCAAACAACTTTCAGAATACACATACGATATACGAACACACACACATATATACGTGTGTGATACACACACACACACAAATATACATACACATACACCGGCGAAGACTGCACGCGCGCATGTGCACACACACACACACACTCACACAAATATACATACACATACACCGGCGAAAACTGCAAGCGCGCACGTGCACACATACACACACACACACAAACAAATATACATTCGCTCATCAGAAAATACCACACACACACATAAGAAAATGGTCGCTTTTAAGGACAAGCGGGCTAACCCAGATTTCAGGGGTTTCCAGAAATCTTGACCTACACCAAAAGTGGGCATTGCCCTACCTATAGGAGAAGGTTGGTTTCTTTGGTGTGTATATTTGTTAAGTTATAATAGAGAAAACTCTCCTTGTTTTTTAACGAAACTGAACAAGGGGCAAAAACTTTACCTTCGATTTTCTCAAAACAGCATTTTTCCGGAGAGCCCACTTGCCCTTCAAAGCAACCAAATAATACTATGCACACACAAAGAAAAAGCCCTGGTTAAAACATAAAATTAACTTATATATATATTTTTTTCACCCACAAAAAAATCCCAAACACACAAACAAACAACACATACACACACAAAAACAACCAAACCCACACACACCCCTCAATAATCACCCCAGCACGCAGATGCCTACAACACACCACATTTCTCTCTCCACGCTGACTACCTCGCAGAGTGCTGCAAAAATCGTAGACTTTTCGTTGCTATCTCGTCGAAGAAAAGTTCGTATTTCCCACAATGATGATAATAATAATAATAATAATAGTAATAATGACGATGACAATAATAAAAATAATATAAATGACGGTGAAAACAGTAGTAATAACAACACCAGCAATAATTGTACTTTTGATAAACATAACACAAGTAATAACAGCAACAAGAATTTTGTTAATAATAATAATAACACATTTGACCACAGTGGCAGCAGCAGCAGCAGCAACGAGTGAATGGCGGCCCGCCCTCCGATTGCCACAAGCCCCGCCCCCTCCCCCCCGAGGCTCCGCCCCCTGGCCTGTCAGCTCCAGCTGGTGTCGTATCCCGTCCAGGTGGAGGGCGGAGCCAAGAACACCCTCCGGCCCTTCAGCACAAAGCTGACCACACCTCGGTAGGCCGCTCGAGGCACGCCCGCCTGCGAGAGACATGAGAGAGAGAGAGAGAGAAAAAACATATTTCGTTACTCCGTTTCAATACATGTTTTACGGCACTTGCAACACAACAAGGTCATATAAGTGCCGAAGATTAGGAGTTATAAGAGAGTAACAAACACAAAAAAAGAAGGAGGAGAGATCAGGATGATAGATGTTTGATAGGAAAGAAGGAGCAAACCACACCAGAGCACCCGCCAACCATCCACATAAAACATCTTAAAATAAGCTGGTGCTTTAAAATGCTTAAAAAATTTTACACCTCTATTGTCACAATTTAGTTCACTTAGGATGTGGGCTTTAACCCCTGCCTATCAGTTTGAGGGGAAAAAAAAACGTTTTAGTTTTAGTAACATTTTACGGCGCTCGCAACTGCATAGTCATATGAGCGCCAAGGGGTGGATGTCAACAGAGAAGTCCTAACAGGGAATCAGGCTTACTCTGCTCACCTCTCTGGCCCCAACAGCACAAAGTCTGCTTTGACTGTCAAGGCACCCCGGAAATAGCAGTTCACAAGAGAGTGACAAATATACAAAAGAAGTAGAAGAAAAATGACGATAGTAAGGATTAGGAAAGAAAAAGCAGCAGTTCCCCCTATGTTGTTCCGGCACAGTATGAGCATGACATTGATAAATCAGCCCATTTACAATTCTACTGTGCATAGGAACATGTTAATATACCCCCTTTGGGAATAGCCTAATAGAGAGGAGCAGAGAAAAGGACGATATATGTTTGATAGGAAAAAAGGCGCAAACTACACCAGAGCACCCGCCAGCCTCCCACAAAAAGAAACATACAGGGAGACACATAGTACTGTCAGGTCAGGCCCCAACATACATAATTATATCAGAGCTCATTTCTGACAGAAAGCACGACACAAGAAAGAAATGTTGCGATACACACACACAGACAGACATACAGACACACACACACACACACACAGAGACGGACAGACACAGACACACAGACAGACACACACATCACACAAATACACAAACACATCACACACACACACATCACACAAATACACAAACACATCAAACACACACAAACACATCACACACACACACACAAATACACAAACACATCACACACACGCACACACACAAACACATCACACACACACACACACACACACAAAAACACACACATCACACAAATACACAAACACACACACACAAACACACACAAACAGCCACCAAACCTTAAAATCATCCATAATGCCGAGGGCTTTGGCAAGTTTCTTAAAGCTGTCTTTGTTGGTGTACTCTACGCGCACCACTGTCTCGTTGGGCCGGTCGCCCTTGGTAACCTCCGCTGCCGTCAGCAAGGGGGCGCTGTAAATCTTTTTGGCAAACATCTCGTCGTACTGGGGCTGAGGGGGACGACGGAAAAGTTCATCATTTTTTTGTTTGAGTAAAAGTTTTACAGCAGTTGGAACACAGGTCATGTATATAAGCGTCAGGGGGAGAGAGAGAGAGAGAGTGTGAGAAAGAGAGAGAGAGAGAGAGAGTGTGAGAAAGAGAGAGAGAGAGAGAGAGAGAGTGAGTAAGAGAGAGAGAGAGATGATAGAGTGAGAGAGATAAAGAAAGAGTGACTGAGAGAGAGATTGAGAGAGAGAAAGTGTGAGAGAGAGAGAGTGAGTGAGAGAGAGAGAGAAAAAGAGAGACAGACAGACAGACAGAGAGAGAGAGAGAAAGAGAGAGAGAGAGTGAGATGATAGAGTGAGAGAGATAGAGAGAGAGTGAGAGAGAGAGAGAGAGAGAGAGAGAGAGAGAGAGAGAGAGAGAGGGGGGGAGGAGAGAGACGCAGAGAGAGAATGAGAGACAGTGACAGACATACGCAGGCACACACAAGCAAAGAGAGAGAGATTGAAAGAGAGAGAGAAAAGAGTGTGTATATCTGTGTGCGTGTACATGAGTGTGTGTGTGTGTGTGTGTGTGAGAGTGTGTGCATTTGTGTGTGTGTGTGTGTGTGTCGCCTCTGTGCGTTACCTCTGTAAATATGTGTGCATATGTTATATATACACATGCTATGTGCAAGCATGCGTTTGTATGTGTAAGCCTCACCTTCTCCTATTTAGTTTCAGCAAAAGTTTTACGGCACTTGCAACACAATAAGGTCATATAAGTGCCGGAGATTAGAGGTGTTACAAGACAGTAACAAACAGAAGAAAAAAAAAAAAAGGAGGAGAGATAAGGGCGATAGATGTTTGATAGGAAAGAAGGAGCAAACCACAGCACCAGAGCACCCGCCAGCCACCCACTCACCTTCTCCAAGTAGGACAGGTCTATCTTGCTGAAGGGCACGTAGTCCGTGTTCAGCTTGATAAACTTTAGATGTTTCTCATAAAATAAACCCCTGGAGGAAAGACAAAAAAGGGGGGAAAAAAAGAAAGAGAGAAAATAAGAACATTTTAGTTGTAGTAAGAGTTTTACAACCCTTTTTATTATTTTTTTTTAGCACAAGTTTTACGGCGCTCGCAACATGCATAAGGTCATATGAGTGCCGAAGATTAGAGGTGTTACAAGAGAGTAACAAACATAAAAAAGAAGAAGGGGGAGATAAGGACGAGAGATGTGTGATAGGAAAGAAGAAGCAAGCCACGCCAGAGCACCCGCCAACCTCCCACTTACAACCCTTGAAACACAATAAGGTCATATAAGTGCCGAAGATTAGAGGTGTTACAAGAGAGTAACAAACACAAAAAAGAAGGAGGGGGAGATAAGGACGAGAGATGTGAGATAGGAAAGAAGAAGCAAACCCCATCAGAGCATCCGCCAAACACCCACAATAATAAGAAACTCGATGAATGAAAACACTAAATGGAAGAAAAAACAACAAAAATAGCAACAAGAAAAATTGGAAAGAAGATAAAATTGTACAAATTCTGGCATGACAAAAACCTGCATGAGAACATTACTGTAGACACTTTTATGGTAAAAACAATCCTTTCAAATGTGGAAATTATTCTTTGTTTTTGTAAGAGTTTTTACGGTATGAACAACATAAGTCACGTATATCTATTAGTCAATATCTACCCAAAGCAGCGAGAAAGACAGATTCAGTATAAGTTAGTTTTAGTTATAATTTTAAGGCACTAGCAACAATAAAGTTATAAAAGTGCTGAAGATTAGAGATGTTACAAGAGAGTAACATACACAAAAAAGGAGGAGAAATAAGGATGACAGATGTTTGAGTGGAGAGAAGGAGCAAACCATACCACAGCACCCGACAACCACCCATAGACAGAACCTGTTCACTGCATACAATCATTACAGACCTCACACACACACGCACACACACAGAACGGCATACGTACTTGGTAACTCCTCTCTTGCCGAAGAAGCTGATCCGGCAATTCTCCGGAAGTATAATCTCTCTCTCTCCCACACACACAAACACAAACACACACACACACAGGTAAACAGAACGACAGACGTACTTGCTAACTCCTTTCTTGCCGAAGGTGCTGGTTCGGCAGATCTCCGGACGTATACACTCTCTGCCCTTCCTCTGCTCTGGATGACGCATCCAGTCATCCCAAAACCTGTGTGTGTGTGTGTGTGTGTGTGTGTTTGTGTGTGCCATGGGGTGAGGGGAGGGGATGGGGGAGGGAGAATGGGAGGAGAGAGAGAAACCAAACAAGAGATAAATACTACTTGCTAGCGAAAATGAGGGAAGGAGGAAACAAACAGATACATTTTTACAACAAAAAGGCATGATGTGTAAATGGGGGCATTGTTATGTAAAAGGAGATATTGTACAAAACTCCATATTGTAGTTTAACTCTGTAAGCCCTGAGTTTTTTCTACCATTTCCCGGAGTTTTTTTCTACAGTCACCTAAAACTGGTGAACTATGTCTCAATATAACCCCAAAAGCTTGCCTCCAGCTTCTAAATAGTGGAAACAAAGGCATAGTCGTTATTAATAAACTTGGTCCGGCAATAGTTCCGAAAAACAAGAATAAACTAGCACTAAATAAAACAAAACAGTTGTCACTAGTACTGGACGCTCCCGGCGTCCGATGGGGAACGGGGTTATTACCCAGCGTCCGATGGGGAACGGGGTTATTACCGCTGACTGCCGAAAACAGGTCCCTTTTATGGAAGTCCATTCATAAGATAAAGAACTATCAAAATGATTTGGTTTCGATGTATCACATTTTTGTCATTTTTAGATTTACCACCAAAAAAGGGTCCCGGCATAGGCAACTTATTCA